GGCGTTTACAAGATTTACTGTAAGTAAAGTGTGGCCATTTACAAGATTACTGTAAGTAAAGTGTGGCCATTTACAAGATTCCTTTGAGTAAAGTGGTGGAGATTTACAAGATTACTGTGAGTAAAGTGTGGAGATTTACAAGATTATGTAAGTAAAGTGTGGAGATTTACAAGATTACTGTAAGTAAAGTGTGGAGATTTACAAGATTCCTGTGAGTAAAGTCCGGCCATTTACAAGATTCCTTTGAGTAAAGTCCGGCCATTTACAAGATTCCTTTGAGTAAAGTGTGGCCATTTACAAGATTACTGTGAGTAAAGTGTGGCCATTTACAAGATTACTGTAAGTAAAGTGTGGCCATTTACAAGATTACTGTAAGTAAAGTGTGGAGATTTACAAGATTACTGTAAGTAAAGTGTGGAGATTTACAAGATTACTGTAAGTAAAGTCCGGCCATTTACAAGATTCCTTTGAGTAAAGTCCGGCCATTTACAAGATTCCTTTGAGTAAAGTGTGGCCATTTACAAGATTACTGTGAGTAAAGTGTGGCCATTTACAAGATTACTGTGAGTAAAGTGTGGCCATTTACAAGATTACTGTAAGTAAAGTGTGGCCATTTACAAGATTCCTGTGAGTAAAGTGTGGAGATTTACAAGATTCCTGTGAGTAAAGTCCGGCCATTTACAAGATTCCTTTGAGTAAAGTCCGGCCATTTACAAGATTCCTTTGAGTAAAGTGTGGCCATTTACAAGATTCCTTTGAGTAAAGTGTGGCCATTTACAAGATTACTGTGAGTAAAGTGTGGCCATTTACAAGATGACTGTGAGTAAAGTGTGGCCATTTACAAGATTACTGTAAGTAAAGTGTGGCGTTTACAAGATTACTGTAAGTAAAGTGTGGCGTTTACAAGATTACCGTAAGTAAAGTGTGACGTTTACAAGATTACTGTAAGTAAAGTGTGGTGTTTACAAGATTACTTGTGAGTAAAGTGTGGCCATTTACAAGATTACTGTGAGTAAAGTGTGGCCATTTACAAGATTCCTTTGAGTAAAGTG